GGGTAGAAGTTGTGCTTGCAAAATCTAAGAGCTGATGGAAAATAAGATAAGGTTATGAGTTTTAGGTGTTTCTTTTAGAGTGATGTTATTTTTGTCAAAGTTTTTTTTGGCCCTCCGGATGACCTTATCTAACCACTTCCTCTCGCCTGTAGTTAAGCTGCTGCTTCAACAGTCTTCATTATGGAAGATGGAGGATTCCAACACAGAGTCAAAACAGTGTTCAAGACTGCATTTTCATCCAAACATCTCAGTATCATTGGCATGAAGTAGAATCCGCTCTGACATTTCATGTAAAGAGAGTAGGTGTTCAGACTTTAGTCCATGTATGGTTTAAGGTTCAGGTTAGTACTCAGGTATTCCTGAGAGTGAACTAGTGCGCTGTGGAAGACAAACAGGTTTAGTATGCCTGAAACCCAAAATAACCAAGTCTTGCTCCCCTGTGTGCATGTGATTTGATTAGCGATTTTAACCCCCTCTCCGTAAATCATCGATATGAAACCCAATAACTAATGGGTTTCCATGTGGAAATTCCCCACCAGCTCATTGGTTGTGGCTACGTTCATCAGAAGATGGTTCTGTTTGAGACAGTTCACAGTGTTTAGCATCCAGTGTATGTAGTGTATGTAGTGTTCCTCTGCAGTGTTCAGCAGGAACAGCTGGGCTCCTGTACTGCAGAGCAGCCTGTCAGATGAACAGTGTTTCACATACTGTGTATTCAGTAGCCAGATGAAGATGATGGTTCGGTCCTGATAGTTTCAGCTTTTTGCTCAGAAGTCCTGGCTAGATGGTATTAAAACCACTTATGAATTCAAAGGACATGATCTCCATAGCACATCCAGGTTCCTCCAGGCGGCTCAGAGTTTAGTGAAGAAGGTAGATGATGACATTATCCAATACAATAAGAAGCTGTTGTCTTACCAACCCTTTGAAGAACTTGTTTAAATCATCCATCCAGCCTAAATCTCCTACAGCTCGGGGGTTTGGTTTGTGACCTGTCATTGTTTTATTAGGATCCTCTAAACCCCAGTGATTGTTTTCCATTGCAGTTGTTCCATTATTTTCTTCCTGTAGTTATTTTTTCATCCCTGAGCTTCATTCTGAGTTTCCTCATCTAAAGACTCTCTTCTTCTTGAGAAAAGTCTATTTTATGGTTGGTCCAGTGCTTTTAATTGGTGAAACGGCATACCTTTATGAGGGGCACTACCTTCTCCACACTGAAGTCAATGTAGTCTGTAATGGAGTCTGAGATGCTGTAAATGGCCTCAGAAAGCTCGTTTTTGTGATCAAGCAGGCATATAAACTGAAATACACACAATACAGAGCTTAGCAGAACTGCTGGCTGCTCCTGTGGTGCTGGAAGATGAGAGTGATATTCAGTTTTACCTAAATGACAACCAGCAGCACTCCAACTACAGATTGCTCTAGTGTTAACAACCAGACATGGCAAAGGGATAGGTGTCAAATGTTTTTGAGAAAACTGAGCAAAAGTTGCCTCCAATGTATTTTTGTAAGTTTCATTACTCAGATGACTAAGCATTGACAGGTCAAGTATACTTGCAGCTTAGCAAGTAATTTTTTTAAATAAATTGTCGTATTTTTAGTTAATGACAATACTCTTTACACTATACTAAAGTAATACTCCAAGTATACAGTACTAGTTTGCTTGTTAAGAATCTTCAAGTCTACTCTCATTTTATGGCAGTAAACTCGAATTAATCCTAAAAGTAGTCTTCCAGGTATTAATTTACTAATAGCTGATTTTTAGTGCCCTCTTTATTTTATTAATGTTCAATTTGATGTATACTTAAACTAACTTTGCTGGTTTGCTATATTATGCTTTTCTTTATCCTAGGACAGTAAGATGACTGTATTTTGTTTCATGTTTCTTTTAACATGTAGGACCCATTTTTTGATTGTATTTCTGATTCTGATTCCTGGTTGATGGAACAGGTGTTGTGAATGAAAAGGTCCCCAGCTTGAAAGAGCTCCTTTGCATCACTGAATGTGTGCATTGATAACTGAAAGACATCTTCTGCCTCCATTACAGTGTGTTGAATTCATGTTAATGTGTATTTAAAGACATTTCAATTACTCCAAAAAATTGCAGGGGGGATTATAAAAAAAAAAGTTTCATCAACTAAAACTTTTGCGACCCCCCCATGCAGTACCTCCATGGACCCCTTAGGGGTCGCAGACCCCTATTAAAGACCTCCAATATAGAGAGTTTACTTAGGCCTGATGGCTATGTTTGAATAAGCAAGTACTTTACATCTGGTTTCTATTAATAAAGGAACAACTTCCCAGGATAAACAGACTGTTCGGCCAAAAGTCATATGCTCTGAACAGATAAAATTTCAACACTTAGTTGGGCTGAAGAAAAACAATGGTGAATTGTTCCATCCAACATCCTCAGACTGTGTCTCCATTTACAGGAAGGAGGGAGCCTGCAAGAGTTAAGAGGTTTACCAAAGTTTCCCTTTCTCTCTCCCCTGTATCACTGAGTATTGCTGCAGAGGACAAAAGCTTAGTTTATTCCACTTCAAAGGTTTATTTTGTTTATGGGGTTACTAGTTCTCTGCATACCGCCAATAGACAATAAAGCATCTTTGAAAAAGAAAAACGTAAAAAATAGAAAGCTGGCTCCCTGGTTTAATGCAGAACTGTGCACTTTTATCTCCTCCTCCATTTTAGATGTGATTAATCTATCTCTGTTACAGGGATATCTATAAAAGGCTTTTAAGGTTGCTGTAATTAAACCTTTACTTAAGAAACTGTCTATTGACCCAGATGACTTGGTCAATTATAGACCTATATCCAACTTTCCTTTCTTATCTAACATTCTTGAGAAAGTAGTTGCCAAACAAGTATGCAACCACTTACACCATTTTGAACTTTCTGGAGCGTTTCAGTCTGGCTTTAGAGCTCATCATAGCACTGAAACAGCTCTAGTGAAAGTCGCTAATGATATTCTCATGGCCTCAGATAATGGACTTGTTTCTGTACTTTTCCTGTTGGATCTCATTGCTGCATTTGATACAGTTGATCATAATATTCTTTTAGAAAGACTTTAAATTTTTGTAGGAATTAAAGGAACAGCACTAGACTGGTTTAAATCTTATCTATCTGATCGATTTCAGTTTGTTCACTTTAATGACAAATCTTCCTCATGCTCAAGGGTTACCTGTGGAGTAACACATGGATCAGTGCTAGGACCAATTCTCTTTACTATATATATGCTCCCAATCGGTAGAATCATTAGACAGCATGGGATTCATTTCCACTGTTATGCTGATGATACTCAGCTATATCTGTCTATAAATCCTAGCTAACCAATAACATAGACTACAGGCATGTCTTGCAGACATAAAAATCTGGATGACTCTCAACTTTCTGGTCCTGAATGCAGACAAAACACAAGTTATAGTCTTTGGACCAGAGTCTCTGAAAAAGAAGCTGATCAGCCAGTCACTTCATTTGGATGGGATTAAATTGATCTAAGATAATAAAGTAAAAAATGTTGGTGTTATGTTTGATCAGGACCTGTCATTTAAATCCCATATCAAAGGGGTTTCTAAAATTTCCTGCAGTTGTTACTTCAAGGCTGGACTATTGTAATTATTTATCATCAGGAACTTTACAAACTATAGTTAAAAGCCTTCAGTTGATCCAAAACGCTACAGCCAGAGCCAGAGTTCTGATGAAAATTAAAAAGAGAGATCATATCTCGCCTATCCTGGCTTTTCTTCATTGGCTTCCTGTGAAATCCAGAATATAATTTAAAATCCTCCTTCTCACATGCAAAGTCTTAAATGTCCAAGCTCCATGTTAAATCAGAGATAAGATTGTTCTTTATGTTCCTAACAGAGCACTTAGTTCTCAACCCGGAGGTTTACTAGTGGTTCTTAGAATTTCTAAAAGTAGAATGGGAGCCAGATCTTTTAGTTGTCAGACTCCTCTCCTGTGGAAGCAACTCCATTTTTAGTCTATTAGGCATGCTCCCTGTCTACATTTAAGGGTAAGCTTAAAATGTTTCTTTTTGATAAAAGTAATTCTGCTTCATTCTATCTCTAATATCATAGATGTTGGAGCTTGGCCGGTTAGTGTTGTCCTATTTCTCTGACTGTGACCAACTGTACATGCTCTCTTCATCCTCTGACACGGGAACTGCCTGGGAGCTCATCTGCTTGCCTTTGTGTTCCTTGGACAGGGCTGCCTGTGGAGGTGGTTGACTCTTTCCTTTTGTATCTCTTCTTTCTGTATGCCTGCTTGTGTCTTTTGAACCCCAGTCGGCCTCGGCAGATGGGCGCTCACACTGAGCCTGGTTCTGCTGGAGGTTTCTTCCTGTTAAAAGGGAGTTTTTCCTCTCCACTGTTGCTGCAAGCATGCTTGGTGTGAGGGATTTCCTTTGATTCAATGTGTCCATGCAATCAGCTTAACCAGAAAACTTTAAATCAGTTTGACTATATGATCTGGTTGAACTGTCTCTGTAAACTGCCTTGCGATTACATCTGTTGTGAATTTTTTCTATTTAAATAAACTGAATTGAATTGAAATTTCAGTGACTTTGTTGGAATCTGTCAGAGTTACTGTATTAATGTTTTTGGTATGTTCTCAGCATTTTATTTGAAATGTAAATTGCATTATAAATAAAATGTATTAGTATTATATATTAACCCAAGAGCCTATTCTAAATCTGGTTATATCCCACCTGCAGTCTATTAGGTGCCATGATGAAGAGATACCTTCACCCCACCTGCTAGGTAGTCACAATGTTATGCCTAATAAGTGTTATTATAACTAGGGCAAATTTAACTGGTAACAACGAGGGCAATTTGTAAAACCAATCAACTATGATGTTTGAATTGGATATTGTAATATAAATCAAGTAATTCTACAATAATTTGGTGCTAAATGAGAGAAACAAACTGAAAATGAGATCTGAGTAGATAAATGTTCTTCCAAAAGCCACCGCTTTTATTACATTTTTAAATGCACCAGAACTCAGTACATCTTTTTCCAGCAATACATATAATTCAAATAAAAGACATATTGTACAAACAAGTAAATACATATTACAGTAGTAAAAAGAGAAAAGTAATACTAAAAGATATAAATAACTGGAATAAATGAATTATCTATTTACAGGAATTACTAAGTTTGGTTACAGCTAAAAATAAAAGAAACCCAACAGGTTTGTTTCGTAGAAGATATATTTAACTTCTTTGAAATGGCACGCCAACTTCCTGGATAAGTGACATTTACAGCAGTTTTGTGGAGGTACACTTTCCACTGCTTCTCTGTATAACAAATGTTCAGACCTACAATAAGTGCATCTAGCATGAAAGGTACCCTGTGCAAGTCATTTCTTATGCCATACAATCGTTTAAGAGCCCATTTTGCAAAATAAAATGTGAGTCTTAACCTTAGAGAAAAAAAACAACAAAAAAACTCTTAATGAAATAGATATGAGAGATCTGTAGAGATGCATATCTTCACTTGATGACTTGACTCAAGTCAGACCTGAGTCACAGATTTAAGTATTCAAGACTTGATTTGGTCGTGTTACAAAATACCTCTTACTTAGCTGCCTTGATGTGAAATGACTAAATGCTGTTTTAAAGTCAGAAATTCACCTTGTGTCACTAACATTTCAGGAAAACCTCATTATGACTTAATAACTTGAAATTTAAACCATAGGACTTGGACTTTGGACTTGTTAGTCTTGACCTAAGTCCAAGCTTGGGCATTTACCGTAGTAAAAAAATGAGACTCATATTCAGTTTAAGAAGGTTAAGCATTAAATGCTCTTTTTTCAATTTCCCAAATAAATTAAACACATCATTCTGCTCAGTGACATCCCAATTGAATTTAATTGTACTTTAGCAGTAGCACACTTATTTAGGGTGTAAATAACAGATAATTGTTTAAGGGTTGTGGCGCCCCCCTCAGGCCAAGCCATCCTAGGAAGGCAACCTTGCCGCTTTAATAAATAAAAACAATCATTGCTCATAGATTGCTCCAAAAGCTTTTCATTTGTAGTAAAATGTTGATTACTGACATTCACTACCATACTAATTGTAGTTGTACAGGCCAATAAATAAGCATTTCTCAGAAATGACTTGGATAGGCTATATGTGCCTCTTTATATGGATAATGTAAAATGATTTTGAAGTAAACTAAAATAAACATATGTATATGTATCCAACTGATTTTTTTTTTTTTTTTGTCCTATCCAATCTGAAGACTCAACACTTTCTGGAAAAAATATCTCTTAGTATGAAGCTGTTGATCTCCAGCTTCTATCAGGTAGATTTTAAAACTCACAAACTCAACCAGGCTCATGAAGCTACTTGGTGCAGATCTTTTTTTTTTTTCTTTTTTTTTTTTTAAGTAAAATGGAAATGGTGAAAGGTAATGGGGTCAAAGTTTCATACTCCTCTCACTCTCCTTATCTGAGAAATATTTCCAGAAAGCAAAAAACAACATGAAAGTGTTCACTTTCAAAACATCAGTCTTTCCAAATACAGGAAAGCGAGAGAAAAAAAAAAAAAAAAAAAAAGATAGTAAGCATCTCTCGGTGGGAGGACAAATTAGAAATCCATTTTGCTCCACCTGGTACTTCCCCTAACCCCACATATCTCTGAAAGCATTTTTTTTTTTTCTTGTTCTGTGCAGAACAGATGCAGCTAGTGGAACAGACTGAGAAAAAAAAAAACGCATAACAAAACATTGAGGCTGAGAAGCTATTACAAAATAACAGATAAATGTTGCTCCACTATTTTTTAACACCTTATTGTATATTCTAACTGTTTGATTATTCAAAATGAATGTTTCTCAGAGATGTCCCAGCCCTATTACTTATTTAACAATATAGAATGTAAGTAGGTTTATAAAACCTGCAGAAACACACATGTAAGTAGCAATTATAAAATCTAAAGAGGTATAAAAGTATTTGTAATAGGGGAAAAAATGTTTACATACCGGTAAAAGGAATTCACAGTTTAAAAAAGCGAGGTACATTTCTTGAACTTGAAATACCTTATAATGTATTACAACATAACCAAGGTCAAATATTAACCATAGTCCTGGTTGAAAAAGAAATATTACAATATAAATGATTTTGATGTATGTCTAACATGCAACAAATGATATAAGGTGAAATAAAGGGATCTATAATAACTTTAACCAAGAGGATTCACTGAAATAAAGGATGAGGATTTTAAATCCAAGGAAAGCCTTATTTCAGGGCTCTGGATTGAGTTTCAAAGAGGACTCACTGCCATCGCCGCTTTCCTCAACTGGCCTGCGACACAAAGAGTCCTTGGCTGCAAGCATAAACAGAAAAATACTTAAAGAAAAAAATATTAACTCCACATTTTATTACTATTTTAATCATGTTATGTCACCCCACACTGGATTGTTTAGGAATGACTGAATTGTATTAAAAACACAAATGTTAAAAATATATATATTAAGAAACAATTAAAAACAGGTCAATCATTCAACAAAATATGTGAACATGTGCATATTTCTTACATTAAATATATATATTTATTTCTTGATTTAAATTTAAAAGGGTCGATTACTTTTATAACAGAGGCTACAAACATCAGCTTATCCCAGTCTAGACTGAATCAGATTCTTTTCATCAGCGAAAAGTGAAATTTACCAGCAAGATCCTTTCCCTATAGCTAGCTTTTACAAGACTATTCAAATGCAAATATAAATCTCTTTAGTATGAAATTAACTAGTATTTTTACTATCATCAGAACATATACGAGAGGCGTTCAATAAGTAATGCCCCTGGGTCACTTCCAGATGTTTGATCGAGCTGAAATTTTGCATGTGAAGCATTTTAAATCTCTATAGATTAAATAACAAATTACAGCTCTGAACTAATTGTGGTTTCTGATTTACTGGTGTTAAAACTGAGTCAAGTCTGAGTTTTTGCATTTGAAAGGACACGCACAATGGGAGAATTTTGATCAAATGAAAGTAACTTATAGTGATAATGTCCCATAACATAACCTTGTAAAACATTTTGGAAGGTCATATAACAGCCATCATCACCATAAGTTACTTTAATTTCATCAAAAGCCTCCCGAGGTGTGAGTCCTTTCCAATGGAAAAAACGGATTGCTGCTCGACACTCAACAGGCTCAGTTTTCAGAAACCACAAATAGCTCAGAGCTGTAATTTGCTACTTACCGGTAATCTATAGAGATTCAAATGACTTCACATGCAAAATTACAAATATCTGGCAGTGGGTCAGGGGCATTACTTATTGATCACTCCTCGTATGCCAGTGTTCTCAAATTTTTGAGGGCACCCATGAATCAAATAGTTTCTCTAGAATGCACTTAAGCTATGCAGGGATATCCCTGAAGACTGGAGTTTGAGACCATGGATAAAAGCCCATGTTTACTTCAGTTGTATCTTACTCTGTAGTGCTTGTTTAGTCCTCCAGCAGGGAGTGATGTGTAGCTTGCAGGTCATAACCGTTAACACGAGCAGTCCAACAATTCCCAAAGTGAGAATGGCCGTACCTGGAATAAAACAAGGCAGGTCTGCTGTAGATTACAGCGCCTTAAATTTGCGGAGAACAGAAGGCAGGAAATGTCTTACCAACGTGATTGCTAGTGTTTGAGCTCGGAAAGCTAGGCTGCACTTTTTTTCTCACAGTGGTGGGTTGAACAGGAGCTGTGGTGGTGTTAGAGAGTGTCTTCTGTGTTTGAACCCCCTCGTGTGGAGGATGTGTAATTGAGAGCGAGGGGAAAACCTTTTTAATGACAGCAGGTGCTGTAGTGGTCTGGCTGCCATTTAACACCTCGTTACAGATGACGTCAGAGGTGGGGGTTCCCTCTTTTTTAATTCCTGCGGATTTACAGCTGGAATTAAAAAAAGAAGAGGAAAGAATCATGATTTTCAGTTACATGTGTACAGTACTTGAGATGTCAGTGTAAAATAGTGTACATTTATATGATTAAAACAGATGGGAAAAAAAAGGTCATACTCTTTCCATTTTTGACAGGATGTATCATAGCTTGAGCTGAAATATCCATCCTGGCATTTTAAACACTCTGTCACCAGAAAATTATAAACATTTATTGAGGTTTCATCTTTGACTTTTATAAGTAAAAAAAATAAATAAATCATTACTTTACCATTATCTTTAAGTCCCGATCCTTTTTCACATATACAGATGGAAGATTCCTTTGAAAATGGAACAAATCCTGGCCGACATTCACATACTGTATTTGTTTCCTTAGTGCATTTCACTTTGACTCTACTCCCTCTTGCTGCAAAAAAAAAAACATAAGAAAAAATAACATTTAGAATTTAAACCAGAGAGATATTGGTTTTATTTGTAACACAAAGTTTAAAGCAACCAAAAAGCAAAAATCTGCATTTAATAGGCCTATTTAATTCCTCTTCACTTAAATGTCAGATCTAAATTTTCATTTGTTTCCCACTACATGTATTGTGTATAGACACATTATTTTCAGTACATCTTGGTAAAGCCATATCTCCTACCTTCGTCACATCTTTCACATCCTGTACAACTTTTCGATTGATTTTCTGTTGGCTGAAAATACCCATCCTGGCATGGCAAACATGACTTCTTGCCATAAAGCTCAAACACTCTCTGGCCTACAAATGTCACATGGTGGAGGAAAAACAATTATTTAATAAAAGAGACACATTAGAAGCATTCAGAAAAATACGTCTTAATAATTATTACACTGCATTTTAAACAATCTGGCCTTTAAATAAAGACCACAAGCAAAACATTATTTTAAAAAAAACGACACAACTTTGGTCTTTATAAGTGTAGCATTTGCTTGACAGGAATAGGGTGGTGATAAAACAGAAACAAAGTTTAAAAAACAAAGTCTTTACCTCTAAAAAGTTATTTTCCTTACCTTTTTTGCAAAGAAAGGCGTCTAAATCAACAATGATTTCATTCAAGGTCAAAGTTATTATGAGAAGATTGTACAAAATCATATTTAATTGTTCTCTGTCAGCTTAGCCAGAACAGTTTTTGGGTGCTGCACCACTATGATTGTGAAACAAGAACACGCAGAGACTTGTGGGGTTTTGTAGAGCACCTCCCACAATGGATTTTTTCACATAGACGTCAATTCCCCAATGACAAGAAAAAAAAAGTAAAAAAAAAAAAGAACAACAGCTTGATATGCAAAGAATTCAAGATTAAGTTACCATAACCAAAAAAAATATATTTCAATTATATTATATTTTTTTAAAACTTAAAACTGTCTTGTTTAAAGATTAGAGCAACATCCAAGCACTTTAAAAAGGATAAGGGTTTAAGTTGTAAAAAAACAAAAAAAAACAGCTCTTTTTACCATCTTTTATGGTTGATTCAGCTTCCAAAAAAAAAAAAAAAAAAAAAAGGAATCTCCAGGATTAATTTAAAATTTAATCTCAGATCCCTTGCTTCATCCTTAACCTGTCTGAGTCTGATCATTTCTGGGTCCAACGTAAAAAAAAATTTTTCTGATACTTTTTTTTTTTAAATGATGGTGGTCAAAATTCTTTTTCTACTAACATAGATGCATTTCTGTCAGATGTGACATTTCTCAAAGAGACAACTGCATTGAAAACTAACTTAAGCATCTACTATTGTTAGGACATTAGCAGGACTGCTCCACTTCAGTCAAATTTTGTCAATATCAGTCAGGCACTCATTTGGTAATTTCAATAGCAATAGTTAGCATTAGGCTACAAGTTTGTTTTTTTAATTAACCAACCTGCATGTTTTGCAATCTTTGCTTTCATAGACTGAAACAAATACCTTTCCCATATAACCCATCAATGCAGAGCTTTATTGATCATTATCACTGCTGCACTTTAGAAATGGAAATGTCTTGAGAGCTGTACTGAACAAAACTTTGTTTTTGTATGCCGTACTCTTTTTGTTTACTAAATGACTAAATGTCTGTCTAAGTCTGATCATTAAGCAGCTTTAAATATCCAAAAAGGGCTGTTTTCTTTGTAGCCTAAAAGTCCAGCTAGAAGTGAAACTTACCACAGGCTGGTTTTTATCTAAACCATTTTCTACTGAATAAGGAACAAAGTTCATGCATTCTACTTAGAAAACTGACGAAATCCCTCACTAGCTTAGATATTTATTTTTCCAATAATCAACGGAAAATCTCCAGTTGTATGTTGTGCAAGAAAACAGTCCTGACTGCATCAACCTTTTTTTTTCACACTGAGGCTCTTGAACCTTTCTAATAAACAGTTTGGGTAATGTGAGCGACCGAGCCAAAGAAAAGTCAGAAAGGCACAGGGAAGTTTAACCAATTTATTTACAAAAAAAACATTTGAACTCTAAACATAAATCTGGGCCCAAAAAGAAAAAGAGGTCAACAAAACCAAACTTAAGAAAACCAACTAAAGTATTAATTGACCTAACAAACTGACACACAAGGGGAACATATACTCGCTGATCAGGAGTGAAAATTACATAAATCTACTTAAACAAAACTACAACAAAATTACAAAAAACTAACAAAATGGAAAAACTTAAACCTTCCCATTCCTCTTTTAAAATAATTGGAACAGTCCAATTAAGTCTCAGTGCCACTGAAATTCTTTGCAGCTGGGACTCTTGCTTAACTGGCCCAGCCAAGCCAACATGGCAGCATCACAGAAAGAGGCAACTCAAATGAAAAGTATTAGTTTAAAGTAAACCATACAATTTCAAGAGGGCAAAATAAGTCAACTATTTTAACTAAATAGTTAAACAACGCCAAATCACATAAGTAAAAAGATTTAATACAATGTGGTAAACCAATATTAAGTGACTCATTTAGATAAAAAGAATTACCAGACCATTTAAGAAAAAGTCCTCGCCACCCCAGTGAGTGAGTTAACCTACTGTTAAGATGTGCTCCAAGGTGAAGCAGAAGGGCTGCATAGCCAGGTAATGGCATCTGATACAGCTGTTTGCATCCCTCATCCTTTGCACCCACTGGAGGACTTTATGATCAATCTGCGGTATGAACTCCCTTCCCAAGAGGTAATACTATAGAGTCAAGAGCCCACTTGATTTCTAGGGTCTCTTTTTCCACTGTAGAATAACGAATCTCCCTTGGGAAAGTTTACGGCTGATGAATGCCACTGGATGTTGGTCTCCTGGTAGACCATGCAGAAATACTGCTCCTATTCCCCTCTCTAGGGAAAATAATAGCTTTTCAAAGTCAGGGCAATGAAGAACTGGGTTCTTACCCAAAGACTGCTGAATGTCCTTAAAAGCTGCCTAAGCTCCTTCTGTCCACTGGACCTCCATAGGATATTTTGATCCAATCAAGTGGAGCAGTCCTGGCAGAGAAGTTAGGGATAAATCATTGAGAGAATCCAGTCATCCCGAGGAAAGATCTCAGCTGCTTCCTGCCTTTGGCAGATCATCTTAATTACCCGATTAGATTATGGGCAAATACACTGATATTAAGTAGCTTTTACTTTTTTTCTTTTTTTCCTCTACCCCTATTACAGAACCTACAAGATTTGTAATTTGAAATTACAAATCTTGCATTTCAATCTCAATCTTAATTTGCCTTTATCTGTTTAAATAAAGGTTTGATTGAAAATTTAAACAACTTGGTAACTAGGAGTGTGATATGATAAAGCAAATAACTTGTTTTTTTTTTTCTTTGTATTTTTTATTATGGCAACACTTAGTTTTCCGGTGTTTTTAAAAGTCTCCATTATAATAAAGGTTATTGTGAGGAAATGAAACGTTATCTTCAAAGGCTAAATTCTAGAATAGAAGTATTTTACGTGTCTCTTATTCTTCAGGGAAAAAAGTACACTGTGGTTAAAGTAGCGGAAACCCAGCAGTCGGCTGTTGTTCTGCCAGTAAGAACATGGCCCTGTGCATTTTTGCATATGGAGTGCACATGGAAATAACCACACATTTATGATTAACCTGCAAGATATACAACCACTCACATGCCTCGTAGTGAACGGATGTAGAGCAACACCTCTGCTCAGGTTTGAAGTCGCTCTCGTTTAAGTCAAATTCACTCTTATCTTTAACTTGAAATTACAGAGATTAGTAAACATCTTAAATATCAAAATTGCAGAGAATTTGTTTCTCTTTTACTTCATCTAAACAATAAAAATTTAAACTTCAAATAATTTGAAATTGGAGAAAGTTCACAAAACTGTTGCTCTGATAGGGTAGCAAACCACATCCTTTCTTCTTGGATTCAGTACGTTTACGATCCCTTTGAATATCTTCAATGCAGATTTCTGGTTGCTGTGTGCTAATATGGTTTAATTTATCTTAATAAAAAACATATTATTTCATTTTTGCTTTTTTATTTTCTAAATGTGCCATTTCTAACATAGCTTCATATTCAAGCAAAAATTAACATGATTTTTCTAATCTTTTAAAACTTGAAGGTGAATCACGTATGCCTAATGCTAGCCGATACACTCCTCAAATTAGTTCAACTGAAACAATTTAACAGGTAAGATTAAGATGTTGTGGTTTAAATTATGCTCTTCTGAGAAATGCAATGTCATCAGTGCAGACTTTGCTTTCTCATTAGAGGAAAATTACCCATAAACCACTTAGTTTGCTGAAAAACAAAATCTGCCCTGTGATGATGCAACTCAACATATAATGTGCCTTTAAAGACCCATGGCTGGAAATGTCATCTGCTTAGCAAAGCTTTTTCACTATTGTATTAGAGAGTTAACGTCAAAAAGAGAGAAAATTAGTGTATGCAGAATCTGACTTGGTTACAAGGCACCAATTTTGATTTAGGTATGTGGAAAGCATGTTAATACTGGATTAACTATAAGTATAGATAATATAAACTTGTGCAAATAGTCCATGTATTATACGTATAGTGCAATCTCCATGAGAGTAAAGAAACTAAAGTGAAGCTGCAGTATTCTTTACAAAAAATAAAATGTGCTATGTTTTTATTCCCCAAAATGGAATATTATTGTGTGTATCTGGTTGGGCATTTAAATAACTATATTTGTAATGTAATTTATGTTATAAGAAAATTATTCATATAAAGTAGTTTTTCAAGTTTTACCTTTTTGTTCTTTTTCCCCATACTTTTATGAAGTGAAGTCAATCACACCTTTATAGACAGGATGTGTTCTGATGTTTCTGGCAATGACAGCAGCAACCTTTACCTGGAATAACAAGGGAGGAAGACTGTGGTTTGTCTGAGTTTATCTGTAAACTGTGAAAAAAGAAAAAAGCTAGCTTACTAATGACAGTGGTTTGACTGATGTAGCACTATTTAAAGTGTAAAAGGACTAGGTGGAAGAAAATCAGAAGACTAGAATTCGTCTACTGGAGCCGTTGTCAGTAATCAATAAAACGACACAAAATAACTGCTTTCAATACCATGTATTAGACAAATTTAAAGTAAACAATACAAGACAACATACATAGAACCCGAAAATAAATACAAAAAAATATATATACACAGTACTGTGGCAATCCTTTTGTTTGTGCACAACTGGTCTTAAATTCCCCGCTGATCAGTCCAGAGTCTAACCTGACACACATTCAGAAATT